ACAATAGGCTGCGGTCGAAAGCCCTCTCTTCGCGTGCTGTTTTGTTCTTTTGCTCCCCCCCCCCCCCCCCCCCCAGTATTCAACGGTTATGTTCTCCATTTTCACCAGTGTTGGATTCTTTTAACTTAAATTTCATAACCTGAAGGCACCAAAAGAGGATCAATTGGAAGAGACATGATGAGCCATACCGTGAACAAATATGCAATCTTCGTGTATGTCTCAGCTCGCATTTATGCCAGAACACGGACGCAGTTTTGCTGCACATTCAAATAGCCCGCTCGCTGACGTTCGTCGGTGCACCAGAGTTTCCGTCTCGCGTCGCCAGGTGGCGAAGCTGATTGGTTCGCCGCCGGGCTACGTGGGCCATGACGACGGCGGCCAGCTAACCAAGCGACTCAAGAGCTGCCCCAACGCCGTGGTGCTGTTCGACGAGGTGGACAAGGCGCACGCCGACGTCCTCACCGTGCTGCTACAGCTGTTCGACGAGGTGCGGACGCGGCGGCCGGCCCGGGGCGCGGCCAGCCATCGCTCGGCATTTAAATGTTGTAATGCAGACAATTTACGGAGTTGCTAAACCTACCATGCAAAATATGCCTCAGAACCTTACAACCCTCCTCTGTAGCTGACGACTCGTCTGCCGATACTGCTACGAGTTCGCAAGCTTACATGTTGTGTAACAGTTGGTTGGGCTGGGGGAGCTGCACCCATCCTACTTGATCTGCAACAGTTCTGTTCTACTTGGCCGTGCACTGGTGGCATGCGAGTGCTGGGTGTCGGAAGTCGGTCATAACTGGCGCGCTCGTCCCGCGCCAGGGCCGGCTCACCGACGGCAAGGGACGCACCATCGAGTGCAAGGACGCCATCTTCGTCATGACGTCCAACCTGGCCAGCAACCAGATCGCCGACCACGCACTGGAGCTGCGCCGCGAGGCCGAGAAGCTGGCCCGGGAGCGGTACGAGGGCAAGATTGGTGAGCGCCGCGTACCGGCGTGCGCGGGCCCGGCGCAGCCCGACGCAACCGTAACGTTTCTGTTGTTGGCGTGTACTTTGATGCGGTTGGCGCTAGAACTGGAGGTATGTGTGGGACGTTCCCCGTATGGTAGGGGTGGTTGGGGTGAGTAGGCTGGCAGATGCCAGGTTTTTTGTCAGTCGTCCCCGACCAGCGTAGTCATCACACTCAAGCGTAATTTTGCCAGTGTAGTTTTGTCTGTATGTTGATGCTCACATGCTTGTACTGTTAATCAACGTACAGGCAATCTGCTTGTTATCCGATATGTCGGGCTGCGTCCGTGCAGAACATGCCGAGGTCATCAGCCCGTCCTGCGTGTCATCACTGGTTACCACCAATGACCCCAGCTTCCTTCCCGTCGTTCGCACTCGTTTCATCAATGCATAATCTCGTGGCATCACAGAGAAATGCATGTTAGTGAACAGCCGGAGTCCAGGAAAAGTTAAAATATGAAATTTGTCCTCACTTTACCGCGCAACAGTTTCCGTAACCAAGCAGCCTTCCGAATACATTGCACCGCCGTTTCTGTATATATTTAGGTTGTTTGTGACCCCTTGGGCAGCGTGCCTGACCCTGCCCTGACCCGGCCGCAGACGACGTGGAGTTCACCGAGCGCGTCAACATCTCCGCACCTTCAAGGAGACGGTGGTGCAGCCCATCCTGAAGCGACACTTCCTGCGGGACGAGTTTCTCGGTCGCATCAACGAGATCGTGTACTTCCTGCCCTCGTTCTCGCGGCCCGAGCTGCGTCTGCTGGTGGCGCGAGAGCTCCAGCTCTGGGCTGACCGGGTGGGTGGTGACGGACGGCGCCACCGCGAACGGCGCTCGCGGCCGCGCGGCAGGCGTGCCGTGGCTGTGTTCGCACGTGCACGGTGGAAGGAAGCGCGTGCTCACGGTGCTGTGTGTTGCCGCTAAGGCAGTTCACTCACCCCACGGCGTGATATGATACGGTGCCTTCAAGAGTATGGGGCTGGTCACAGCGCGTCCTGGCATATCTGGGAGCCACATCAGGACACTTAACGGAGAGGTATTGGGGACAGTAGTTACGGCTTGGTCACTGGTAGCGCGTTTCACTCCTGTCGGACCGTCGCTAACGCTCCGCCGGCGTCCCGTTTCAGGCGAAGGAGAAGCACAACATCGAGTTGAAGTGGGACCGTCGCGTGCTGGACGTGCTCGTGGACGGCTACAACGTGTACTACGGCGCCCGCTCCATCAAGCATGAGGTGGAGCGGCAGGTGAGGCGTTGGTCGGCACAGGATGGAACGCCGGCCAGTGCCCGGCGTTCCAAGTCAGGTGCTGCTTCCATGGCCTCCCCGGTCGCCCGCCGCTGGTTCTATTTTGTCCATTTGTTCCATACGTGTGCTATTTGCTTGAATTTAGGGGGAGACCTTGTGATGTACTTTGCATCGACCGGCATCCCGTACAGTGTGTTTTGCTATGGTTTCTCATTTTTTGTGTGTCCAAAATCGTGGGTGGTTATTTATTCCTTAGTCTCATGAATAGCGCCCGAAGGTAACCATTGCTGAGGACAAAGAGATAAAATGATAAAGATAAAGATGATTTCGGTCCCAGGAGTAGCGCCTTTAGTACTACGCTGTGCTCCTGCTGTGCGTCGCATGATGTGTCGGTGTTCGCGTTCTCACTGTCCCTATCGTACTTCGTCTGCCAGATATGTGTCATTTCCCTGTGTTCCTTAGCCTGTTGTGTCTGATCTGTTCCATTGTGTTCCAATATATCTTTGGCTGTGGTTCTGATGACCTGCGTCTCCCTTTGCGCCGCGTTCATGCCTCACGTCCGCCATGTCTCTTATTTATTTCCTTCCCATCTTCTTATCTTCCGTGTGGATACTGCTCCTCTGTGCCCGCCCCCTCCCCCTCCCCCTTTAGCACCATGTTTGTCTGCCGGGTTTCCTGTTCTCGCGTACCCCGCCCTCAATACCCCACCTGTCATGTGTATGCTGCTTCCTGTGTTCCATAGCGCGCCTGCCGTGTGTCTTCTGCCCTTGTAGTCCGCCTCCAACACCCCACGTGATGGTGACGCGGCGGCGCTGGCCGGCCGGGCAGGTAGTGAACCAGCTGGCGGCGGCCCACGAGCTGCAGCAGCTGCGGCCCGGCTGCGCCGTGTTCGTCACCGTCACGGACGACACAGCACAACCGGGCGCGCGCGGCGTCAAGATCCAGCTGGGCCATGGCGGCGCCTCCGACCTGGAGGATTTCGTCTCTCCGCTGAGCTGAGCCGACGCAGCGGACGTCGCCGGGCTGGGAGCTGTTCAAGCGGGAGACGGCACTGAGGGGATCGCGGTTCTTGCGGCGTCACGGACACCAGCTTTCCCGGGCGACGTCACTTGACTCGAGGTCGCGCAGATGGTGCGTGGTCCAGGTTTCGTGCCGTGGTGGCGGTTCTGTAGGACGCCGGCGGCCGTTCCCAGGTGTGATCGGGCAGGCGCAGGCCCCATTGTTAGTGCTGTGACGGAGGCTGGATAGTGGTGCAGTGGTGATCCGCAGCCTTGTCCGCCTGCCGGTAGTGCCTGCCGAGGGCGGCACGACCCCGGTAGTTGGTGCCAAACGCTACAGACTGTGCTTGCTTGCATGAGTGATGTGCTCGCATTCCACTGTGCTAGTCTGCCCGGGTGGCGTTTTCATTGTTTTGACAGATTGCCTGTTTAAGGTAATAGAGCTGTGGCATTATTTCATGTCTCCATTTCGTTATTTTCTAGTGACTCCCTTCGCAGTATTTTGGTTGAGCCAGCGATGCAAGTCGATATTAATACATGATTGAATCGGGACTCCTGACATTGCCTGTTAGCCTGCGCCTGGCTGGGGTCTGAGATAACCGCGTCCGGCCGGGAGAAGTCAGCTTCCTCCTGGGATTTCCAACTCCCAGATGTCGTATGAGAAAAACAATGACACCGTTGTGAAGGTCTCATGAGTGCATTAACAACGCACGGCAAATTTTTGACCTTAGGTCAAATGTCAATCACCAGGTTATGGGTTGCGATAGGCCAAAAACGATTGTTCTGATAAATGCAGCTGAAATCTATGCTAACGCGTCCAGCCGGATATTGAGGGAACTGAAAGAAATATTAGGACTAAGAGGGAGTCTATTAAGAGGATCCCATTCCGACTATTTCTGTTTCTACATAAGGGTCAGGTCAAATCAGGTTACGATACAAAGTCGATTAACCAGAAACCTACAAGAGTGATGCTTCTCACAATGTGCTTCTAAGTGTATTTTATTAGACGCAGCTGCGGTGCAGGGGTATTCTAGACACAAACAATTCAAGTTAGACTGACCTAGAAGGCATCTTGGGTCAAATTCGTCAAATTTACAAACCATTAAAATGACGAATTTGAAATGCTAACCGGGCCTATGTAACCAGTACAATGTTTCTCTGTCGTCAGAAATAGTGCGTTGTATATCTACAGGTACTCAGGATCGCATAGCTGTTGTCTCCATCACACGTGATCCATCCGACAATCGGCAATGTGTTTGTAACAAACTGAGAGCGGGCACGTTGATGCATGAACTTGTACTCATCAGCTTCATAAACATTATAAGGAGGTGGTTATGCGCATCACACTCATCCATCTAGCCTCTCCACTACTGGCAGTAGGGTCATTGACCTTGGGTGACATCATATTATCTTGCATGTTTTCACGTAACCCATTGTGGCCCCACTACGCATTAGGATGATATCGCATGCTTTTAGTGGAGTATTTGAATTCTGTGTGCAAAACCCAGTGAAAAATTGCCTGTTTTGAGTCCACCAAGTGTTTTACTGGAGGAACCCGTAGAGGTATGTCATGACCTGGGTAAAGGCCATGTGATCGGCGGTCCAATGATGGTTTTTCATATGGCTCTTTACCTCATATGCAAACACTACAACTACCTAAAAACGCGTACAAATTTGCACTATCTACAAAAATTCAGAACGATTTACCTGACTTTAGAATAATGACCCAGCCTTTTCGAAAAATCTGAAATAACAACAATGTAGATTCGATCATGTTCTACGACTATAGCAAGTTTGAACAATGTCAAGTGACCCGCAAACAATTATATGTTGTCACATTTTTTAGAGGCTGGCCTCTTTGGCACTACCCAGGTCACTAATCTTTGTACAACAAAACTTCAGAATCGCATACCAGGATGCCAAATCGATAAATGGACAGGTGCTAAAATTTCAAGTTGCTGCAAGCGTTTGTAGTTTGTACCTGTGCCCAAAATATCGTCAGGAGGAAAGTCACCTTCCCGCTCCCCGCCGGGACGCGGGTTTAAAAGCCATAATCCCCTTTTCTGAACGTCTCGCAATTACGCCCGTGACGATTTCAAGCTAATAGAAACGGTTTTCTTGCGCCAGCCGTATGTGCCAAACGCCGACGCTACGCAATACATGCTCTATTTTGACAGACCGCCAACATGTATCATTTCCACACTTGTGTACACCTCAGTCGCCAGAGGCTTACACGTGCCACACATAGGAAATCCATGCTAGCATCCGTAGCACCCGACAGCAGCATACCTAAAGGTTGCAAAGTGCACGTGTCGCCAGTGCCAGGGGGCGGATCCATGATTTCGTCAATGGGGGCACACAACATTGTAGGGCCCCCTGGAGTTTGGGGGCCCCCTCCAAAAATATTATTGCATTTCGGTCATTACCATTTTTAAGACAAGTTGTATGTAACACGTATAGACCAAGAAATATATATATATATATTATATATATATATATATATATATATATATATATATATAGGTACGTATACATGCATGCATGTGTTTACTTGTTAATTTTATTTCATAAATACGGGAAACCCATCTTGCTGTGCACGGCCTTATAAAGCTAGGCGTGCTACGGCCTACATACACATAGAACTCACTCACTTTGTACAGATCATGTTAAATGCTGTGATTTTGAGGCTAAGTGTTTCGGCAAACAACAGGCAAAATGAACTTAACTAGCTGCTACAACCATCAAACCAAGCATGAACTTGATTCCTAGCTTATGTCTGTACGGTTATGCGGCTGGGCGATATCATCAGTTGATGGCTGATGACTAGTGCATAATTTTTCCTCTGTTATAAAGGAGTACAACATACGCTAGCATTCGTAATATGTTAAGAACGCGATGCACTAGCATAATAAGTGTCAGACACTCAATAGCTAATGAAAATGATACACACGACGATGGCCGTACGTAAAATTACGTTAGACAATTGCGCGTAAGAATTCATCGGCACATATTCGACCGCTGCTCTGAGGCGAAGGCGCCAAGACCAATAGAGACGAAAACTTGAGCAATCATGGGTGCCGCAGGAGGCCAACAAAGGGCTCCCGTCGACAAGCACAGGGTCCGCAGAGCGAGCAAAAAGAACCCAAGGCCAACGTGGTGGGCCTCTAAGCGATCGATAGTAACCTGGCAGTTGACACATAAAGTCCCGGCCAGAGCACAGAACCCTCCGAGCAAAGGGAATTATCCAAGCCCATGAAGGCCCCCCAAGCAAGATAGGAAGAGACCGAGGCTTAAATGAAGAGCCCCTGAGCAACTGAGTGTACCCTGGCATATGGGGCCTGGAAAGATGTAAAGAGGCTTTCGGGCGAATGGGGAAGAATCCGCGGAGGAAAACCTGATCGATCAACAGTGCTCAGACATGCAGGCAGATAGCGTCCCAAACAGCACATTGGGTTCCTACGAGAAAATGCAAAGAGATCAAGGGCAACGTGGAAAGCTCCTTAGCGATCATATTGACCCGGCAAGTGGACATATAGGGCCAGGAAACCAACAGCGCGATGGCTCTAGACAGCGTAATGAGCTCCAAAATTTCCCACAAGCAACACTTCTTAATAAACAAAAAAATGAACTTGGTCTTCTTATGAACTCTTTACTTTTGCTAATAGTTGTTCTTGGCCGCCTGCGGGCCCAAAGGCTTCCTGTTTTGTTGTAAGAAAGTTGTGTCCGTCCAGCCGGTTATGGGCCCCTTCGGAGCCTTAAGGCTCCCTCGGCATGGGTCCATGAAGCATGACTCTGGGTTTTCCGCTCTCCCCCCCCCTTCGAATCCGCCACTGGTCTGAGCAGCTTAATGGATGGGGCCCGCCAAGAACATAGGGGTCATCCATTCAGAAAAGAAATGTTCACGACACAATATGTAGGGCTCTTGAACAATCGAGTGGGCCCGAGCAGGTTAACATATAGGGGCCCCCACAAGAGCGTCGGGCCCTCCATTCAAATAGGACGCACCGAAGACCCAATGTAGAGGGTCCCCGAATGATCCGGTGCGTCAGAGCAGGTTCACACATAGGGGCCCCCGTAGGAGCGTAGTGCCCTTCATTCAAATGGGAAGTACCAAAACCCAAGGAAAAGTGCCCCGAATGATCGAGTAATGCCGAGCAGGTTAACAAATAGGACTCTCACAGAACGTAGGGCCCTCCTTCGAATGGGAAGCACCGAAGACCATATGTGAATGCCCCCAGAATGATAGAATGTGCCCGAGTAGCTTACTCAGAAGGGGTCCAAGAACGCGGCCCATTCAAATAAGAAGTACCACAAAGCCCAGGTGAAGGGCCACCGAAGATGTAGTATGTCGGAGCGGATTATCACGAGGCCCAAACAGGAGTGCAGGGCCCTAATCCAAACACCAACAACCCAATATGCAGGACCCCCGCGACAATTCGGTATGGCCGAAGCGGCGAACAGATGGGGGTCCCGACAAGTACGTAGGGCCCTCCATTCCGATGGGAAGTGCCCAGACACTATGTGGAGGGCCCCGATAAAATAAACTACCCACAACACGGTGTAGACGGTCCCGAATAATCAAGTGCATCAGAGCCAGGTAAACAAATAGGGCCCCCCGAAAAGCGCGGAGGGTCCTCCATTCAAAAAGAAGTACCCAAAACCACATATAGAGGCCCCACGATGGAATGGGCCCGAGCACCTTGTCAGAAGAGAGCCCGGACAGGAGCGTAAGGGCCTCCATTCAAATAAGAAGTACCCAAAACCCGGTGCGGAGGGCCCCCGAAAGATGGAGTGTACCCGAACAGGTATCAGATCACCCCGATAGGAGCAGAGGGCTCTAAATTCAAACACCAAGAACCAATATGCAGATCCCCCCCTCCCCCCCCAACAATCCAGTGTGGCCGAGGAGGCGAACAGAGGGGGCCCCCGACAAGTGCGTAGGGCCCTATTCAAATAGCACGTGCCCAAGGCCCAATGCAGAGGGCCCCCGAACGATTGAAT